ACCGCCGCCTCCACAACCGTACGTGTTAGCTATCCGCGCTCACCGTCCCCGTACGGTGAGTGCCTTCCCGCCTCCGCTAGCGCCACCACCCCCGTGCGGTTGTGTTAGTAGTCCGCGTTCACCGTCCCCGTACGGTGAGTGCCTTCCCTTCCCGCCTCTATCCGAAGTATCCGAAGCGTGCAAAGTATTATGAACATTAGCGACGTTTTAACTAGGTTTAAACTTGCAAGTTTGCTATCAGAGAGTGATCCTTCTGTTCTTGTACTATTATTTATTCTGTGGTATGGGAGAAACGTTATTTTTTTAAAGAAAAAAAAGAAAAATAAGTGTCTAATAGTAGACAGTTGAGTAGAGAATAACCATGATGTACTTAGTTTTATTAACAAGCCAGTTTCTGAAGAGGCATTAGAGTCATGGATCACATACAACACATATATACCTTTCAGAAATTTATACAGACAATCGAAAAGTATAATCTGCCAACATGTCTGGTAAATATGGACTTCGATTGAGACAAAAATTGTCAAACAAAAAGAGTCAATATATCAAGATGCTGGAGTGTAATAATAACGCCACGATATATGTCCGGAAACCTATCCAACTGCAATATGGCAGAATCCCTAGAGACCTTAATTTGTTTTTTTTTTTTCGTTTTTGGCCTTCATACGAGTATGCTCTTTGGACTAGGCGTACATCACTTCTTCTCAAATCAGCAAAAATTTTTACTTTGTGTAAATTTGCGTTAAAAATTTATTTTGTGTATATTCAAAAAAAAAAATAACCTAGGTTTAGATAATTTTCGAATACCCAATTCTGTTTACAAAATCTAGATAAATATGAATATTTTGAAATTTCAGCAACAATCATATTAAGCCCTAGTTTTAACCGAGTTCAAAAAACAAGAAAGTATTATCAACAAACATATTATATTCAACGCTTACGATTTATTATGTATTTAGGTACACCGATTTCTCGGAAACGGTCTAACCAAATGGTTCTTTTGGTTCCATACCCAAAGGGTAACCCTATTACTAAGCCTCCGCTGTCCATCCGTCTGTCTGTCATTGACCTGTACCTCATGATCCGTAATAGGTAGATAGTTGTTAGGAGTGTCATATAATTTTAAAGAAAAACTACCCTCCGTAAGGGTAAAAATTTTCAGAATTAATAGTATTAAGCTAAGTAAATGATCTTTGACAGCACGTCATGGCCTCTCTAAACAATTTTTAAGATGATATTACGTATGTAAATAATTGTCCAGCAACCCTGATTAAGACAATATTGTAGTTGTTATAATAAACTTGTGATACTTCTTAGACTATAATTAAGAAAGCTATGTATATATATTTCTAAGCAGTTTCAAATATTAAGAAAATAATTAAATCTTTTAAGAAAAAGTACAAACCGTAATTTCGTAAGTAAAGTTAATACATTATGTCTTTGCATCGACTTCAAAAATTAATTTGTGGAAGTGATTTCATTTGTTTTAGTTTTGAAGTCGGTTTCTACTTAAAATTTAATAATATTTTGACCAGTTTACGAGTATATTCACAAACAGAACAAATTTCCAAGTTATAATCACAAAGAACCCAAAACCTGTTATTACGTAGGCATTCGTTACAAGCTACGAGTAGGTAGGTACGTATGCATATCTACCCAATGACATTCAATGTTTTCTGATCTGTTCACATCTTTCTTGATACAGCTGTAGCTTAATCAGCGAGCCTTAAAGTAAATGTTTGAATTTCAACCATAATTTTGAATGAAACTTTACTGAAGTATACTATACCCGTTTTGACAACACATCCAGCCTACCTCTCTAGTCTCTACATAACATACATATTATATTTTACTCTGCGCCGACGATCAGTTTAGAGACAGTAAAGGGTCAGGTACGATTGCCAACCATAGGTACCATTTAACATAGTATTGTACTATAATATTCATTTTTTTATAATCCAGTTTGCCTACAATTCTACTTGATGGCTAGTGATGTGAAGCCCTAGATGCTTAATCACACTATCTTAGCCTAACAAAAGCCTATGAATCACTCTTGCCTTGTAGATGTCTTAGGGTTGCCAGATGGTCGGGATTCGTCCGGATTCTCCCGACATGATGATGATCTCATAATGATCCCACAATGATCTCCAAACTCCGAACAAAACTCAAAATCTCCAGACAAGCAGCTTCTCTTCACATGACAGCTGCCTTTGATTTAATAAAAGTTGAGTTAGTAATTAAACTGCAGTAGAAGTAAATTGTTTGAATTTTAAATATTTTCTGAATACTACTGCTAAAGGATCCAAATTGGTGGATTCAGTAAAGTCAAATGTCATATATGTGGCAACCTAATCATTAAGTGTACTTACTTAAATTAATTATTTGTCAACAAAGCCTTTTTGTATTTATTAATTTATAAAAAATACTTTTTATTTTTATTTTTAATATTTATTTCTACCGACAACAACCACAAAATCTCGTTATTTTAAAATTTTGTCTAGATAATTTGGTCTTCCGATTTGGTACTCCTAAGACGCCCAGATGGCGGAAGGATAAATACCAACAGATTATTTCACCGTATTCATTGGGTTCGTTATATTATTGGCCTGGTGCCACAATTTAAAATTATTTATTTCATGTACATGTAGACAGATGAAGAAAATATATAAATGTATGTTACAAATATCAAATAAACTCTACAAATTAAAACAATTGATGATACAGATAGTCAAAGTATTTGTTATCGCGAAACAATATTATAATGATGCATAATAAAACTTAAAGATTACTATTTTATACATTATAACTAAATTAAAAAAAAGATTAGGTATAGGTATACTCTTTATAGTCTCTTATTAACCGAGTTCATAAAACGAGGAGGTTTCATTTTCGACGGGCTTGTTTTTTAATGTATGTTTACAGATTTCTCGGAAACCACTAAGCCAATCAAAATGAAGAGGTCCCATGTAAATTTGAAAAAAAAATTCTATCCCCAAGGGTGGTAATCTAGGTGATGAAGATTTTAATGTAACTATTTACATTACAGTTTACCTAATTGTTACCTTAAACTTGTGACATCGCCTCAGACCACTCAAAAACCGTCTTCAAAACCCAAAAACAATACAATAATTTTGACATAATAGCTTTTGAAGTCGATTCTAAGACAGTGTATCGAGCCGATCGGTAAGGACTCTGCGCTGGATGCGGTCAAGTGGAAGGAGCTGGCACTGGGGAGGCCCCTTCTAGAGATGGGAACAGTATAGCCGGCATGAAATACTGTCCCGCTCTGCTGAGCGCACCAAGCTTTTAGAGGCTAATTTGGCCTTCTCTTTCAAGTCACCACGAAACTGCACGTCACTAGATATGTTAACACCGTGAATTCGGATACTGGCTGAGGCAACAAGAAGAATGCCTTAAAATTTCTAACTCTATCTAACTTGTTCTTTTTAGCGGTAAACGCGCAAACTTGTGTCTTCTGTGGATTAAACTGGACTAGATTTAGTCGCCCCCAATTTTGTACAGCAAAGACTCGACTTCAGACGCAAGTTTGTTCCGGTACTCGGCGACGTTTTCCCGAAAAATACCTATAAAGTATTATCAGTGCTGTCATACGCAAAGCTCTACGTAGCTACCAACCATATTAAAATTTACATTCGATGTGAATAGTTGTGACATGTGGCAGAGCCATGTTACAGCTATATTATGTTTGTAACCCGAATGGGTCGGCTTGGCCGGGGAAGACCACTCTCAGAGAATACCAGCGTGAAATAGTAATACCAGCTCAATTTTGCTGTGTTTCATATGGTGAGTGTGGAGACCAGAGACTCTTTTTACTGGAAACTCATGGGTGGCAACGCATCTTAATTTTGATCCTTAATCGAGGATAGATGTAGACGTCTATGGGCTACAGCATCCACTTACCACCAGGTGGACTGTGTATTCGCTTGTCACCCTTTTTTATTAAAAAAATATAGACATGTACATTGTATTTATTGCAAACTTAAACTTTTTAAATACGACGCGAATCCTCATGCAAATAAATATAAGTGATAATTAATAGAGAACGACTACTAAATTAGTAAATAGCAATGGAGGGGACAAAATGATACCTCTTTAACATGCTAAACACGGTTTGACACGGTATTGCTGCGTAGGGGAATTAATCATTTGTCCTGACAACCTAACGACAGATTGGTGGGAAACATGGTGTCTCCAAGCTTTGTTAGTGCGACAAGGAAATATGAATTTATGCGGTAAGATTACTCTTGTGTAGATAGAAAAATAAGTGATTTTTATCAAGTTTAAAATCTGAACCTAACTTTTTAGTTATTACTAAACTGTACTTCCCTTGAATTACGCAAAAATAAAACTTAAGTCCTTAAATATTTTGCGTAGATACCTACCTAATTTATGTCTACTATTTTTCTGGTGTAAAACAATGAGACGTAATAAAACAGCAAAAAATACATAACATATTATATTAGGAATAACAAACGGGAAGAACTAACAATGTCCATGTAAAAAATCATAATTTATTATTATAAATAAATTTTAAAAATATAGCATTCGGCGGTTTTATAAATATTCGCATCAGACTGATGTTAAAGCATATTCTTTTTAAATTACTTTCAGAGCATATAAATGATAAAGTAGCCATGCCTACTTATTTTAACGGTATTATTATAGGTATTCAATGTATTACATCTACATCAGTTTCAGTCTATTAACCTTACTCAGTAGGTACTCAGTCGCAGGCGCAGAGCAACGTATCGCGGTCATGACGGCGCATGCGCGGCGCCCACCCCCCTTCCTGTGCTGTCCCCACTCCGCACTGGCAGAATCACATTTTGTTTACCAATTGCTACGATTGACGATGACGAGGTAGATAGTCGGTCGGCTAACCAAAGCGAGAACACTCGTTCGCGTCCGTTCATTATTCACTAGTCAGTCGCGACAAACGTGACATCAATCACCGCGTTATGACCCTGTGAAGTGATAGCATGAATAAAGCCGATACCTCGGCGGAAGCCGCCTCGCCGAACGTGGCCATCCACGTGGACCAGTACATAGAGCCAGACGAGGAACGTTCCAAGCTTCTTATTCCACAGTCACAAACATCGAATGTGACGCCATCTGGGCAGATGCGCAAAGTTAAGAGCTTCACCGATACACACAGAATTCGTGATGTGAGTGCCGCTTCTGGTGCAGCATCTGCACGATGCTTACGTCCCTACGAACAAGTGACTCCGTATCCCGAAGGTTCCGAAAGTGGAACCAATCAATATGGTGCTCCATCTGTTCGATCTCTTGCATCAATCGGCATGGGATGCACAGACGGCCGTAAGATGGTTATCAGAAGAGTACCAACATCACCTACAGAGTTGTTCCACTTAGTACGTCCTCCTACGTAAGTAACATTTCTTAGGCAGCGGATATGTATTACATTTTGCTATTATTATTCAATTGTTTCAGCAAACACCTATTTTTGTATTCTTTACTGTAGCTATTTTAAAACTAAAATATTCCTAAATATATTTAAATGTAGGGCGAGCGCTAAATATCGTTTTTGCTCCATCTAAAGTAAATTCACAACCTGCAAAATGAGTAGGTAATAGTTTTCAAAAGTTTAACCTATCTGTTTTCAACGTACGAGTTTTTATAACTTAACCTATAATTAGCGATACCTTTAAATTCATAAAAATAATTGGAAACATCACTGACCTTCCTTTTTTTAATAATGATTTACTTTTGGTTTTTTTTTTATAAACATAATTAAGAGTAACCTACCTACTTACGTGAGTACATTAGGAACGTATATTTGATTGCAGTTACATTTTATATTGCATATTACTGTAATACAATATATAGATTTTGTATAGCTATAATAAATGTGTGGCCCATTGAAAACAAACCATCTTTATTTTAGACAAAAATACAAATACTTTAAAATGGATTTTTCTAAGGTGTGCCGTGCCATTTTAGGCATTTAACCTAACCTTGAAGCAACAGCACGGCAGTCACATTTATAATTGTTCTGAGATTACAACTATTACATTGGTAGATTTTAAAATAACTTTACTTATCTATTCCATTCAATGTCTCTTTACGCGCTAGTATCATTACAAGAATTAATATATTGTGAATTTAACAAAAGAAAATCTGCTAAAAATAATCAAAGAAATAAATGAATTAGCGATGAAGTAAATATATAAAACATAGTATCGATTAGATAGAGCAATAAATTAATTGCTTTGACCAGGTAAATTAGAAATAATGACATATTGAGGAGTAATAGCATAGCACATAGGTATAACAGCATTTAGTTCGACTTAATAGTAAGTTTATTAGAACAAAATTCCTTAAAAAAGACGTTAGCTTTTTTCTTAATATAACTATACTAGTGTAACTAGTTATAAATTAATTAACACACGTGTTACAAAATATAACTTTTAACAAGGTACAGAAGTAAGAGTACCTAATGTCATAACTGATCTCCTGTCCTAATTCGTAACAAAAGCAAAAGGATGAGCAAATTTGCGAGTAACAAGCAGGATGTAGTCCGATTAGATCGTTGGTGTTGGCAACTGTTGGCATCCTTTCTTCCTATCTTGGATGCCTTATACCAATTCACTCGTGATTTATAAAAGAAAATAAAAAAGAAAATACTGTTATTAGACGGATAATTTGTTTATTAGTAACATCATCATTATTATTTGAGACTAACAAAAAGCCACAGGTCTCTCCAATGGATTGTGATATTAAATAATTATATATTATAATTTTATTATACACTTCTTTACCTTTAACTAGATTCACATTCTGCTACAAAGAGTTCCCATATCACCCAGGACTCAAGGCCTTGGCTAAAATTATATAAATTTCGTAAAAAAAATCCTTTACATAATAATATGTAATTTGTATCTATTTGTTATTTGTTGGAATACATATATACGTGACACAAAAACTATCACGCCTTATACTCACGGGGACTCCACATAATCAGTAATTCATTTATGGGGCAATGTTGAATGTATACGCATTTACAACAAAATCCCAGAACATGTTCAAAGTTTGTCAATAAACAAGTTTAAAAGTTTTATTAAGGAAAAACTGGACAAAAAGGTTTTTAATATCAAGGAATACATGAATGAATAACCCCTGGGAATAAGGTGATCGCCACCATGCTGGTTCTATGAAAATTAATTTAAAAACTGTAAGTGAAATATGTTTAAAAAAAAGTCCCGCTGGGTTTCTTCTTGGTTCTTCCCAGAACATAGGTGTTTTCCGAACCAGTGGTAAATAAAAAATTACTTTCAATAAGTATTATGTTTTTTTATAGGATAAGTATGACAAACGAGGACACAGTCCACCTGATGGTAAGTAGTTGCTGCCTCCCATAGACATCTATATCTATCCTCGGTAAGAAATCAAAATGCAGATGCGTTGTCACCCGTAAGACCTAAGATGGAACACTTCATTTCCAGTAAAGAGGGTCTCCGGTTCTCTATACTCTCCATACGAAACACGGCAGCGTTAAGCTACTATTTTACGCTGGTATTCTGTGAGTAGTAATCAATATTGAATAAAAAAATCATTCTATTCTATTACATTCTCGGCAGAAACTACAGACTTCTATTTGGCACAATATGCATATATCGGTTAAAGCCACTCTTAATTTGCAAAATCTTCACCTAAGGCGTTCCTTACTGACTCTGATATTTACTTCTGCCATTTAATTTGCTTTATCACACATTCGTAATTCATTATTTCTACGGTCCAAACCACCAAAGCATTCCTTCCTTTCTTAACCCTGGTCACACTTCTCTTATCACATAATTTCTCACCCTATTAGTCAGAATCATTTCTAACATAATTTTGTCTCAATGTCCTCATTGCTACAGCATTAATTTTTTACTCCTATTCTTCTTCTGTCACATCCACTTTCACTATCATATATTATGGTAGACACTAACACAGCGTTGTAAATTGGCCATACTTGCCTTTATTGACACTTTCTGATTTCTTACAATAGAGTGAAGAGACCCATTTTTTTATAAAATAAGGGTGACCAACGAGCACACAGTCCACCTGATGGCAAGTGGTTGCTGTGGCCCATAGACATCTACATCTATCTTCGTTTGCGAATTAAAATGCAGATGCGTCGTCACCCGTGAGGACTAAGATGGAATGCCTCTTTTCCAGTAAAATGGGTCTCCGGTTCTCTACACTCACCATACGAAACATAGCAGTGTTAAGCTGCTATGTTACGCTGGTATTCTGTGAGACTGTGGTCCTTTCCCGGTCGAGCCGACCCATTCGTGCTACAACAATACTGTTAATATAGCTGCAGCATGACTCTACCACGTAAGACTCTATGTCTGCATTGACTCTTTGCTCTATATTTTATCCTTGTCATGTCTATCGTATTTGTTGTAACATTTTTTTTATATTTTCTATTATTCGTTTTGCCATCGGAATGAAAAAAATTGTATTTATAGGATAATTTAAAGGTTCACTGGTATAATAAGTTATCTGCAGTTTTGTGAAACTGTGTTAAAATTACGCTTCGAATTAAATTTTGACCATTATTTATGGAGATGTTTCGTGGCATTACCATATATCAGCACGGTAAAGTTAAAAATGTTCAAGTAAAAATATAAAGAAAACATAAGTTCATGGAAACAGTTATGGACATTTAATTATTTTTACTAGAAACCGAATACAAGTTTCCCAATAGATAAGCGTTTATAACTGCTATTACGTGAGACCTATTACATAAAAAAGATCACCTAAAATAATTCGTAATTAGTGCACCTATAACAATAAAATAATAATAGTAAATAAAACATAAATTAACGACATAATATATCACAGGAATAATTAGGGCAGTTACCTCAACAAGAACAAATTGATGAGATTGAGATATAGCAGTTGCCTTAACAGCTGGTCGGTTTCAAGGAAAGGAGTAACTGTTTATGATCAACTCTTTTTTCCAGAAGTATACTCACAGAAAGTTGACCTTGTCTAGTCTCGACTATTCGGCGAAATATGTGATTGATTAAAAGATGTGACTTCATAATGACGACCAGACGCCAACAGTTTCACGATGGCTTAATGATCTCGAGAGAAAAACCGGTTTTAGTTTTAAAAAAAAACGACAAGACACTGGGTGGTAATAGAATTACAGCAGAGCTAATAAAAATTGGTGAAAATCGGTTCTTGGAGTCCTTCAAAAGCATTGACACTATAGAGAACACCACACTTCTGGCTATTCCGAACGAGTGAAGCAGAAATGCGGTAGTCTTGTTCTTTAAAAAAGACTACAACGCTCTATTAAAAAAAATACAGACCGATATTCCTTCTTAGTCGTTTTCGAGAGTCATTACAAATTATCTCGCACACAGAATTGCAAACTTCTAGCCTATAGAACAAGCCAGTTTCCGAAAAGAATATACATAGTATCATAGACCACATACATATCCTTCGGCAAATTGTATAGAATACCTAAGAGAAAGCCTTGATTCCGTCGAAGTTTGGCGGTACTATAGTTCCTTCAGCGTTGCTAAGGAGATTTTCGGTACATCGATTTTGAAATTTCTAAACCAGAGGACGAAACCTATTCAACTGTAGAAGGGTGGAAGACAGGAGGACCCAAAACTTTTCACCTCTGCATCGGAAGACGTTTTTAATCTACTGGACTAGAAATGATACGACATCAACATCAATGGCAAGCCCTCTTTGATTTGCTGATAATATAGTCATTATGGCAGAATCCATGAAGGACCTAAGCATTATGATCAATGATTTCAATAGCTTTTCCCAGCGCTTTGATCTTAAGGTGAACATAGACAAGACAAAAGTCATTTGTAATATTCGTGTCACACTTATGCTATTGTTGGGAGCCTTACGCTTAAAGTTGATGTCAAGTATGTTAACCTATGAAAAATTATCTGACTAGGTAAGTCCAACTTCGACCCAGAGTTCAATCGACATATTCAACTCGGCTGGGCAGCGTTTGGGAGATAACGACTCATCTCGTCATGTATACCTAAAAACTTGAAAACAAGAGCAACCAGTGCGTGTACAAGATAGATCTTAGACGTGGTCCTTAATTACTGGCCGTATGAGGAAGCTCAAGGTCAATCAGCTTGCTATGAAGAAGCTTTATGCGTGGTAGAGCCATGCTGCGGCTATATTAATAGTATAGTTGTAGCACGAATGAGTCGGCTCGACCGAGGGAGGACCACGCTTTCACAGAATACCAGCGTAAAATAGCAGCTTAATACTGCTGTCTTTCGTATGGTGATTGTAGAGAACCGGAGACCCTTTTTACTGGAAACGAGGCTTTCTATTTTAGTCCTCACGGGTGACAACGCATCTGCATTTTGATTCTTTATTGAGGATAGA